AAAAAAAAAATATCAACATTCACCACTCACCCTTAGCTCTTTAACTTCCTTCATGCCCAGTGAGCAATGCATCTGTCAGTCTTTGCTGTCCCCACTCAGAACATATCCAAGTCACTTCCCTGTGTCTGCTGCTATTGTCTTGGTCTCATTGAGGCTTTAGCACATTCTGTCAGTAATGGACCATGGAGTTAATATTTTAGGCTTTAGGAGACCATGGGCAACAATGAGGACATTATATAACTACATCTAGAATAAGGAAAAAAAAACAAACAATTTTTTAAATTAAGGTGTTTTTTTTTTTTCAGTATTAGTTACAGTTCATTAACTTTGTATCCCAGCTGTAGCCCACTCCCTCATTCCTTCCCAATTCCACCCTTCCTCCCTCATCTCCTCCCTGTCCCTTTCCAAGTCCACTGATAGGGGAGGTCTCCTCCCCTTCCATCTGACCCTAGCTTATCAGGTCTCACCAGGACTGGCTGCAATGTCCTCCTCTGTGGCCTAGCAAGGCTGCTCCCCCTTGGAGGGGGGGGATGTCAAAGAGCCAGCCATTTAGTTCATGTCAGAAATAGTCCCTGTTCCCCTTACTAAGGAACCCACTTGGAGACTGAGTTACCATGGGCTATATCAGAGCAGGGGTTCTAGGTTGTATCCATACATGTTCCTTGGTTGGAGATACAGTTTCATAAAAGACTCCTGTGCCCAGATATATTTTATCCCTGTGGAGCTCCTGTCCTCTCCAGGTCATATTAACTCCTCCTTTCATGAAAACAATTTTTTGAGAAAAAAAAAAAAAAAAAACAACAAAAAAAAAAAAACCCTTTCTTTTTGGGAAAAATTTAAAATATAACAATCAAGTATAATTTTTTTTAATTTCTGGCTTATGACTATTGTTGATAGATGTTTAAATAAGAGTATTAATTCTCTGAGATTTCATAGTGCATTTTGTCATTTCACAACTCGTCCCGGTCCTTCCCCAACCTCTCTGCCCACCCAACTCCATTCTTCTTCTCATTCTTTCTTCCTCTCTCTCCTTCTCTCCCTTTCTTTCTGTCTCCCACTCCCTCAACACATCAAGTCCAGTCTGTGTTGGCTGACTGCTCCTAGGCATGGGGCCTGCCCTGGACTGTGATCCATAAATCAGGTGTCACACTAAGAACAGATATTTTTTAAAGGAGAGTTTGAATTGATTCACAAAGCATTCTTTATCAAAATCACATGGGGACCTTCATTTGTTAAGATCCATCTTTTACTAAAGTTTTGTTTTCTTTTGTTTTTTTAAGACAGTGTTTTTCTGTATAGCCCTGGCTGTCCTAGAACTCACTGTGTAGACCAGGCTGACCTCAGTCAGACTCAGAAATCCACCTGCCTCTGCCTCCCGAGTGCTGGGATTAAAGGTGTGCACCACAGTGCCCAGCTTTACTAAAGTCCTAAGCATTTCCTGTACACTGAAGTGTCTTTTCACAGCTGTGGCCAGACCACACCCCATACTGCTGTCATTTCAGCGGAAGTGCAGATGGAGGCTCCCTGATTTCAATGGCCTTTCCATGGCACTTCCACTGAGGAAACTACAATTTGTTTTTTTTATCCTAATCTTTTGACAGCCCAAGAATGTGAAAACAAGCTTCATTTGTTCTCTTGGAATGCTGTCTGAGAAGCTAGATAACGTGAACTCTCCTGGCTGATCGTTCCACAGCATGACATGTGTTGAGACACAGGCAATCTTTATCTGCCAGTTGAACAAAACTCAATTCAGACATTAAAAAAACTGCTTTTAGTGGCACTGTGCTGATGCACGCCTTTAATCCCAACACTCAGGAGGCAGAGGCAGGAGGCTCTCTGTGAGTTACACAGTAATCCAGACCAGCCAAGGCTATTACACAGAGAAACCCTGTCTCAAAAGCAAAACAAAATAAACAATAAAAACCACCACTGCAGCTAGGTGCTGTCACATGACGCCTTCCCGGGACGAGTTTGTGTGTTGACTCCCTGGGCTGCAGCAGGTGCTCCCATCGGGGAGGGCATGGTACTGTCACCACCCTTCCTCTCCTTGCCCTGCCAGGGCCTGACTCATTCCCAGGCACACACAGTGAGAGCAATGACTAACACAGAAACGAGCTTAGCTTAGCATAGGTCTTCACATGAAACATGCTAATTGTACCAGTGGGTGCATGATCAGAGATAAAGAGGATTAGCAAATTCCCTGTCTTTGCATTCAGTTTCCACCAGGTAACCACACAAAGAATGACTCTAGCTTTTTTCTTTCTTTCTTACTGCCACAATCTGCAGAGAGGGAAGTTGGAGGGAGCTGATCAAAAGAAGTGACATCAAGGAAAATAAGGGAAATGAATTTCATCCCAACTAGAGCTTATTCTACCTTTCCTAGGTGAAAACAAACTTTTCCCATTGAGAAAAATGAAAACTTTTTTAAAAATCTAGAATCCACAGAAAACAAAGCCTTCAATACCTAAATGCACCAGATACCAGAAGAAGCATATCCGACCTGCCTGAGAAGCCAGAAAAACTTTAGTAAGAAATAAGATGTTTCTAAGACATAATTCACCTGCCTGCTTCAACTACCATCTTTTCAAGTTTAAAATGGTACCTCAAAGCCAGATAAACGTCCCTTCTTTCCTTTTACTGAGTCTAACATCTACACTTTTCATTGTTTCAAAAATAAAACTCTAAAAGATTCTGTTCACAAAACAACTTCAAGAAATACGAAATTATCAAAGGAAAGCAAAGGCACTCACAAAACAGTAAACCAAACGTTCCCAAAAATACCTTCCTGAGATAAAAAAGTCAGAGGTGATTCCACCTTTCTAAGTAATGCTGAGGGAGGACACTGGTGGGGATGGTGATGGTTTTCTTTGTCTCTTACTGATTTCCAACTTGACAATATCTTATCTTTGTAAGGCTGCAGGGTTTGTCTTAATAGTCTCCGGGGCAGCAGCTTTGTTCTTCATCTACACAGTCGATGCCTAAGCCCTTCAAAATTCCCTCCCTCTCTCAACCCCTAAAATGCCAATTTCTAGTTAACAGTAAAGGAAAGGATGTGTGCGTGTGCAAAGGAGGGGTTCTGAAAGCCATTTTCCTCTTCAGTTAAATTAATGACCATCTCCAAATTATAAAACCGGTTGCTAAGACTGAGATGCCCGCAGCTCTCGGGACTGCTGTCCAAGGCAGGTATCCCTGCGCCGGAGTTAATGCCTTAGATTACAGTCACACACGCATCCCAGCTGTTAAACTGTGATTAAGTTTTCGAAACATAGTGAAAGCAGTTATTCTGTTCTGCTGGGGAGCTTGTTCCTGTGTAATTGATGTTTTCAGGAAAGGGAAAAGGAGATGATTACTCTTTATTAATAATTAAGAGTAATTAATAATTACTCTTTCATTTCCTACTTCTTTAGGGAAAACACTAACCCTTGCTTATTCTGTTATATATCTATATATCTGACACAACTAAATATACAGGTTCATATTACATTTGGTGATGGTGGTGCAATCACACGCACACAGTAAAAACAACAGCTAATACTCCTAAGGGGGTGGGTGAGGAGAAACACCTTAAAAACAGGGAAAACATTCATTTTAAGGCTGAAAACATGTCAGGAAACAGATTTTTTTTTACATGCGCGTACATGTGCTTGTAAATATAAGCACAACTGTGAGAACCATCATTTAACTTTCCAATTAAAAAATTAATTTTCAGGAATGGGAATATAGCTCAGAGATCATGTTCAATCTCCAGCATGCACATCCATTCACACACACACACACACACACACACACACACAGGCACACGCATATGCACACACATACATAATTAATTTCTGTGTGAATACATAGGAAGTAGGATTAAAACTAAGTTTGTTTTCAGATCTGATGAGGGACATTTTAAGCCAAACTATTGACAAGGAAAACATTTTCATCTTTCTAAAATGGAAAACCTTTAAAAAACTTTTTTCAGTGAAAAACAGGAAATTGCAGTTAAATTTCAAAACTTCTTTAATTTCTGTATGGATAAACTTGTAGAGGAACTGTTGACAGTACACACAGCCTGTAGTGGAATTAACCTTCCTTCATATTCTGTGCTTGGGTAATATTCTACACTGCTTAGGCTCACTAAGCACTGTAAGGCTCCATGTTACATAATCTATCCAATACTCAAATAAGTTCACAAGTAATCTATTTAATCTGGAACTCTGCAGTAAATGGCATGAGATTTGTGTGACGCCATTCCAAACTTATCTGCTCTAGCATGGAAAATTAGTTCCACTTAGTTGCAGATCAATGATCTATTCAACACAAAATGCAGGAATGCTGCAATCTACGCTTTTCTTATTTTACTTTTTATTCACTTTACATCCAGGTCACCTCATTTTTACAACTACCTATACTAACTTTACTTTCTCTTGAAAATATTTAAGTGGGAATAGGAAGAGGAAAAACCAGTCCTCAGAAGTGCATAGTGTCTGGTCCCCACCACACAGTAGAGAACAGTTAGACCTCAGCTGGGTCTTCAGAAGTGCTCAGGGGTGTTTAGCCACGCCTCAGGCCTGAGGGCGGCCTGCTGTGAGCAGGTGGACAGAGAAGCCACACAAAGCCGAAGGCTGGGTGAGTCAGCTGCCTGAGAACGCGTTGACAGTGTGGCCACACAATGAAAATCTAGTCTGTGAAATGCTAACAAGAAAGCACAGTGAGTCCAGCAGACACACGGGAAGACGTGGAGAGCTGCTCAAGTCAGTCAAAGTGAAACTGAAGCACCTCGTTCAGGGTTAAAAGAACTACATCCCCAGAAGGGAACACAGGCATGGCAGTAATACTGAAAATGACCGCAAAAAAACTCTGTTAACTCAGCACACTCCACTCTTCAGAGGCTCCAGCACACACGGAGAGACAGCGTGGACTCACAGAGGACGTGGCGCACCTTCCATGTTCTTGCCACTTCAGGTAAGCACTACAGGCAAGGAAATCATGCCATCTTGTGGGACCAGCTCTGACTTTTGTTAACCTTCTAATAATTGAAAAAAATCTATTAAGTAAAAGGGAAATCCATCTTTTGCTTTTAAATGAACTCAGCGTCCTTCTTTGTTCTTCCTTAATTCTGTTCATCTGTGTGTGTGCAGGAGGAAGGGCGGCCCTACACGCTCACAGGTTACACCCCTGCATGCACGGGCACGGTCATGCGTGCATGCTTGAGGGTGGGGGCCAGAGAGCAAGCTTGGCTACCGTTCCTCAGGTACCTCTCCCTTGTTCTGTGGAGAGGGCTTCTGCCTGGAGCTTGCCCATCACGCTGCTAGTCTGGCTAGCCAGCGAGGACAGGACTCCCCCACCCCTGACTCTCCATGCCAGGAACAAGCATGCTTTTCCATGCCTGCTGGGCAGAACTAGGTTGCCAGCCTGCAATGCAAGCACTTCACCAACATCTTAATCTAATTAATAAATTTAAATGAGAAACATAAAAATCATGGTTAATACATGAATGGGACACTCAAAACAAAACAAAAACAAACAAAACCACAACACCAACAAAAACACTGTATGATTTTTATCTGAAACACCCTCTGGTTTATAAAGGGTTTGACTGGCAAGTTGTCTCTGCCAATAGCCAGACTAGCCACACGGGGTTTCCCCAAATGACAGAGGAAGTAAATGTTCAATTTCATTTACTCCACACAACTTTATTGTAATTTTAAAAACAGTAGAGGTGGGAGAGACGGGCCAGTGGCTAACAACAGTGGCTGCTCTTGTGCAGCTCCCAGTGCCTGCGTGGCAGCTCAAAACAGCGACTCCAGGTCCAGGGGAATGTATGGCTTCTTCTGGCCTCTCGTGCATCAGGCGTGCAGCTGGTGCACAGATGCACACAAGACAGGCCAGCACTAATACCAAGTAAGTAAATCTCCAAAATGACCTACAGCGCTATAACATGCTTCTGCTGGATACGACCTCGCTCTTTTGGTCGTCTAGGTCTAGGTCTGTAAGTGCATCATTTCACAGACTACATGAGAACAACATGATTCCCCATGTTGCTCTGTAAGCGTGTCTTCAGCAAACATCAAACTAACAGATCTAAATACAGAGGGAAACAAAGCGAATAAATTGCAACCACTGTCATTTTATTTTCCACAAATGAGGGTATTTGAGAAAAACTGACTTGTTAAATAAATAGCAAAAAATTAATCAAAAGTTTCCAGTGTTTACATTCCTGGTTCTTTAAATTGTTCCTTTCAGGCAGACTGCTTACCAGCTCCGTACTGGCCCTCATCAACAGTGACTAGTGTTCTTTCCTAGGATGCGATCCTCAAGTCAAGGAAGAAGAGGCTGTGGCGGCAGCTCAGTGCACAAGGCAGAGCTCAGGTGCGGACAATGAGAAATCACCACCAGCGGTGAGAGGGAGGCCAGAACATGTGAGCCTCTGGAAAGGAGGACAGGAACAGCTGGAGGCAGACCATTTGCTGCTCTCCTCATCTCTGCCTTCAGCAGGAGGTACCACTGACATGACACAGCGCAGGTGCTTTAGAGAGTTCACGTCCAGTTAGAGAATACTAGCTTGGTCTCACAACTCCTTCCAACAAGTCCAAGGGATGCCTCAATGGGTTCATATATTTCAGATATGTGAATACTCTTACAGCAAAGGACTTACAAAATGAAAAAATTATATTGAACATCATCCAGGAAAAAAAGGCATTCTAGAGAAAATTGTGCTGGTGATTATTCTAAATATATACCTAGCTGGAAATTCTACTTGTCAAAAAGTCACCAAGACAACTATGAGGAGAAACACCAGGCAGAATGCTGAAAAGCACCATGGCAACAACACTTGAATCAAAGTCTGTCTTCTTACCATTGAGAACCCTAACCCTAACAACCAAGCCTAGATGGGGCCCCAAACCCAGCGCTTCAACTAAGAATGTGCTATTGAGCACTGCTTTTGGAGCCGTAACAGCAACGGTATTACATTCATTCCTCCCTTCGTTCGTTTGTTTGGTGGTGGTTGGCTTGTTTAGACAGCGCCACATGGACCTCAGGCTGGTCTCCAGCTCCTCAGAGCCAAATAGAGCCCTGAGCTTCTGGTCATCCCACTGACATCTCCCAAGTGCCAGGACTGTAGGAGTGCACCGTGACGCTTGGTTTTAACGCCATGCCAAGGATCAAATTCAGGGTGTTGTCCATGCCAGACAAGCATTCTGCCACTGAGCCCTATCCCGAAGCCCATCAAATGGATTTAAGTGGAATGTAGTGAAAGCATGTAGTGATGTCTTTCAAGGGGTCTAAGAGAATTTCATTTCCTAATTTATTTATAAAGATGGAAAATAGAAAGTATACCAGAAGTAGAGATCTAAGTTCAGCACTGAGAGTTCAAGCCTTCTTAGATCTGCACACCAGAGATAACACCCCGCTCAGAGATTTGAGCCCCGCTTGGAAACTGTTCGGTACCACACAGTCTGAGCACTCTGACCCAGTCTCCACTAATAGCGACTGTATGGGCGAGGCACAAAATAGATGTGATTCTTTGGTTTTCTATGTAAAACTGAGTTAAAGAACCAGCATTTGAAGCTATGAGAGATTTAAAGTTCTCATTCATATGAAACAGCCACATTTTCCTTTGTTTTTGTTTAGGCTTTGGTTCCCCAGGGCCATGGAGGCTCAGCTCCGTACATGGATTTCTACTTTAAATGGAGGTTAGTGATTGCAAAGAACATGCTATCCCCGCTTGGCCCCAAAGCACCTGCTCATCAGAAGACACTCGGGTGTGGCGTGGGAGGCACTTCCCAAATGACAACACTGCTGTGGAAAACCAACCTGCAGGCCATGTGTCTGCTGACTGAAGACTGCATCATTTCAACTGCAGAAACGATAATCTATGCAAGCCATGTGTTATAATTAAAAGCACACAATGACAAAGACGACTTTCCATCTAGTAATTTTTACGAGCCTGTGGGGTTATTTGTTTCCACCAAAATATAATGCAATAGCTTTGAGAAGTTCTCTGGGAAAAAGGGAAATATTCTCTGAAATTAAGACATAGCTCAAAATCCTCTAGTATAAGAAAAAAAAAGACTTCACAACTATAAAAAGGGCACAATGAATAATAAAATACAGCTCTTCCTTATTATGTCAGGATTAACCACATGGAGACTGAAGCCTTCTAGGTAAATCATGTGCACATTTACCTGTACAATCCTCTGCGTGCCATCAACGTTGACAGACAATAAGGGTGACGCCAGGTTCCACGTACTGGTCACATTTAGTTTCGACCCATCAACTTCCACCTGTTGTGACACAAAATAAGACTGTCACCACAAAGAAAGACAGGAAACTGATCTCAGGTTCACTGCCGCATGCAAAGCAGCAGCCATTTTAACAGATGGCTTCCAAACAGCCTGTCATGTTTACTGCTGCAGCCATGAAAGACAGGGTCCAGCAGCAGTCTTCCCAGCCATCTCTGGGGAGAGGTGAGGGACCTGTGAACAGCTGCCTCTGAGTTCTGAGGCTTCAAGTGACTTCCAGAAAGTAACAAACAGCCTTCTAACTCGGAACCTAGCTGGACATGCTACATTTACTGCAATTAGACAGGTAATGCATATAAATTCCAGTGACACTTTGCAGCCCACACAACAGGGCTTGCAGATAATGTCCTCTCCAAGGACCACGGGAAAACTTTCTCAGTGCTAATTTTAATGATGGTATCTTAATTAAAACACACTTTAATTAGGCAAGACTCTCTGGTACTGAACAGCCAGTCTATTCAAACTTTGGAAAGTTCTACTATACAGCTGCTAATCATAAATAATTTTTACCAAATCGTCATAAAAAAGCCATAATTGTTCAAATCAGAGATACAATTAGAGGGAAATTTTTAGTTTCTAAGTAAGTAACATAAAAGTAGCTTAAAAGAAAAAAAAATCAAGGTTAATTAAAACATTCACCAAAGGTTGTTTCCTAACTCTTTCATACCAGAGAAAGGCTGCAAATAGCATTATTATTTTAGCTGTGTACACACTTGTACAAGTTGGAAAGGAACCCTAAAGCAGAATCAACATTTATGGCTGCTAACAATCCACTGTCATCTCTCTCCAAATTGCACACCTACTCTGTAAAACTAGATGTCAGAGTCCTGCTGTCTTTCTGTTGGGGACCCTTGGGGCCAGATAAGGAGATAACAGTGAACAAAGACTTGTTCAAACATTTCTGTCAAATGCTGGCTACCCTAGAAGGATCCATGTTCCAGAGACAATTGAAGGCTTCAAGACATTGCTAACTAAAAATGTGGGTCAGTGAATCATGATAGGAATCTAGAAGTTCTAGCATGCCCTAGCAGATGATCAGTCAACTCTACATCACGATGAGGAGCACATGGCACAGGAGACTATGGCTGCAGGCACACAGCAGGGCCTATGGGCAGCAGAAGGCTTTTCAATGCAGTCACCGCACCAGAAAGGCAGGAATGAGATCAGGAATGGTCACTCAGCAGCTGAAGGTCCAAAGCCCAGCAGCACAGACTTGGAAGGCTGTCTGCCCCACCATCAGTATCTTGGCATGGTTCTGACCATGGTTCCAACGTCCCAGCACACACATCAAAGCTCTACTGTGACGAAGTCTAGAGGCAGAGAGCAGTGTGTCTGGAAGACTGCATCTGCACAAAGGAAGTCAGAACCCTGTTCACACAGAAGCTTGTCTTCTTTCCTCTCTGCTAATGGTAGAGAGGTTTCCAGAAAGACTGCATGACTGAGTAACAAAGGGACTGCATCTCCTTAGACACTAGATAAGAAATCAACACATATGTGATTTCACTACCTCTGAAGCAAGGAAGCTATCACAACGTCAGCAGTGAACATGAGGTACATTTGCCAACATTAAATGATGGAATATGCCAGAAACCACCATGTGCCTTTCTGGGTACCTATCAGTAATCAAATTTCTCCAAGACAAATATAATGAACAGATGCGACCACTTTATCGACACTGTTATCAGACGGATGAAACCTGGTTGTGGGGATGAGCCAGCAGGGAGCAGAGGTGCTCCAGTCTGCTTCCACGCAAAGTTAGGGGCGGAGCGAGCCAGGTGTGATGACTTACACTGTGCTCACACCCAGCCTCCAGCAGCTGAAGAATGAGAGGACGGTTCCTTATTGCTAAGCTAATAACCTTGCTGAACTTGCCACCACTCTACCTCTTCAGGGACAACTAACGTGGAAGAGCCGCACTGAGAGGGCAGAGTAGAAAAGCACAGCCTTTGCTTCTAGCCAGCCTTCCCTATTACAAAACAGACAGTCGTCAGAAAGCAGCCAATACTGCAAGAGGAAAATGGTAAATAAATTAGGAGCCTATAACACAAGGGCAACTACTCAAACACAGGAAGACTTCAGATAAATACTTCTCCAAAGACTCAAAGCAACCATAGGAAATGTGAGCCTCTTTTTTTTTTCTTTAAAGCAGCTCAAAGAAGAAAAACAAGGGTTCAAAGAAGAGATTATACAATAATAGAAGGAAATGAAAAGCAAGCTGGTAGAACTCAGAGAAAAAAAGTGAAGAGAAAAATAACACTAAGGAGATAAAAGACACATGAAGAAGCAACCAAAAATAGAACTAAAAAAAAAAAAAAAAAGAAAAGAAAAGAAAAAAGAAAGAAAGAAGTACCAGAGCATAGAGAAACTCTACACACAAAAATAGTCGCTAATATAAAAGTAGTAAGGAAGAAAGCAGACATGGAGAAGGAGGAAAGGCAACACAAAGGATACATAATTATCTTCTTCAAAAAGGCCTATAAGGCAGAAGAAAGATATAGAGCCAAAGATTTAAAAATGTAACTTTCATTTTTTGAGACAGGATCTCACTATGTGGCTATGGCTAGCCTAGGGTTCATTACATAGACCAGACTTAGAGATCCACCTGCTTCTGCTTTCCAAGAGCAGGCTTTGAGGTGTGGGCCACTATGCCCAGAGTAAGTCTTCAAAATAAATGAAATGTTGAATTTCTAGGCTTATGAAATTAAAGGAATTCTATGCCTAAAGAAATAATCATTTAGCCACTTGAGCAAAAAATAAGAAACTATCGACAAGGAAAGAAAAAAAATAAAATTATCCTAATTAGCCAAGAGCAACACCAACAAACAAATCAAAGGAAACAAGGTAACTGATTTTATACCCAGCCAAGGTTTCCCTAAGATATACGACAAAAAACAAATTCTCTGCATTTATTTTTGGGACTGGGGGGGGGGGGTTCTAAAAATAAGAAATCTCTATAGGTACTAAAGTAAAACTACTCTCAAACAAATATCGAATATGTGCAGTATGCTATCCTTTCTTAAGAAAAAAAAAGAGGCATATGTATTTTTTGTTGTTGTTGCTTTTTACGTTTTTCAGACAAGGTCTTGAATGTAGCCCAAGGTTGACACAAACACCAAATACTCCTGTCTCTGCTTTCCTGGTGCTGGGAAGACAGCCATGGACCACAGCAACTAGCTTTAAATTTATTATTTGCCTGTTTGAGTGTCAGGGTGGTATTGAGCCCAGAGCCTCTTATATGTTAGTCAAGTGTTTTACTGTGAACTATATCTTCAGTCCCCAATGATATGTAGAGATTTAAACCTTCTCAATATTTTTTACTTCCCAGAAGGAAGGTACATCTCTCTGAGAAAGTAGCCTTTAAGCTAAGATCAGAAAGATGAGCACAAATTAGGTAAATGTGCTAGTATTTGTGGTATGCACAGAAATATCGCAGAAGAATATATACTTTTCAGGAAAATCCAGTCCTGTAAGATAGCTTAGTGAGAAAGCATTTGCTACAACAATGTGAGGACCTGAGTTCAATCCCCAGCTCCTAAGTAAAGCTGGACAACGTGTCACCCAGTGATGTCACCATAGGGTGGGAGATGGAAGACAAAGGATCCTCAGAGGCTCACCCATCAGCCAGTCTGTCAGACACAACAGTGAAAAACCAGGTGGAAGGTGAAACCAACACGCACTCCACATGCACACAATGGCCAGCGAGCGCGTGTACATGCACACACATCATATAACATACGCACACTTTTTTAATTAAAGGTAAGTAGAACAAAAACCCCCACGGCAAGAAGCAGCCAGCACGGGGCAAAGCACACAGATAAGGAGTGAATCTGCTCTTGGGATGGAACACTGGGTCTCTAATCAAATGATAATGCTCACAGGTCAGGAAACTAAGCTAGAACACACACTAGCTATGGCCTTCTAGAGCAAGCCGAGGGCCTTCAGAGGGAATCAGAGGAAGGGGAAGCAGCGGGACAGACTGGAGAGTCCAAAGAAGGGAGTCACAAGATGGAGGAAGAGTCGTTTCTGGGTACACACCAGGAGAAGAGATTTCCAATGATTTCAGTGCAGGCAAGCAGTGGGAACATGCCAGAAAAGAGCAGTGCAAAAGCAGGTGATCACCAGCGGAGGTCCTGGAGACGGGTCATGGAGGATGGAGAAGCAGCAGACAGGCTGGAGAGGGTCTCCCACGCTTGGCCAAGCTCTCTCCGTAAGCTCACTGCCACCTATATCTTTGTCATATTTCCCCAGATGTGTAAGCCACACACTTTCCCTATAGCCCTCTGCTGTCTTCAACATGTTCTCACCAAAGTGAGTGTAATTTTGTATAAACATGAAAATAGTCATTTCCAAACCTGAGACAATGGGGACACGGTAATGTCAACGTGAGAACGAGCAATGGGGGTGTGCACAGGGAAAAACCCAACAGACAGCGACGTGCAGTTGGGCATGTGAGGATGCAGGTGGCCCTCCATTCTTCAGTTGTCTAAGACGGCTTGGGCATTAGAAATTGGGAAAATCAGGGCTTCCGGTGGGTGGGGTCCTAGCAGACATCTCCCAGCGGACACAGGCAGGTTTATTTGAAAGTTACTCAAAATAAGGATATTTACGACATTTCAAAAACAACCCAACACATGATTTCTTTCAATTTCCAGAAGGTATTTTTCCACATTTAGTCACCTCCCTATATGTCTGCATTCTACTAAAACCAGCCAGCTGCACTGTGGCACAGGCAACAGTTTTCCTATCCACGTCACATGAGGGGAAAATACACACCCTAAACTGAAGAGGTCAGTTACATTGTCACTAAGAAGCAACAACATAGCGTACTTCCTCAGGGCTACTACCTGACAAAGTGAAACACTGTGACCCCGCAGCAGCTGCTAAGCGTTAAAAACTGTACTTAACATTATGGATGGAAAATTCTAATAATAAAACCTTGGAGCCAGGCTTGGTGGCACATGCCTGTAATCCCAGCACTTGGG